CATGGCACACACTGACCAGTAGGGGGCAGACACTCAATGCAGGAGCTGCCCCCTGGTGGTTACTGTGCTCCCACAGGGGGAGCTCTGCTCAGCCACAAGCCAGGCTGACGGCTGCCAGCACAGCAGTGGTGATGGGAGCCTCTCCCGCCTCCTCAGCAGCACTAAAGATGTCTAACTGCAGCTTAGGCCTCCTCCCCTGGGGAGCAGGTGGACATCCCCCGAGGGGTCCCAGACTGCGAGAGGGCACAGGCCAGGTGGAGGGACCCCTCTGAGTGCACAAAATTTTGTGCACCAGGCCTCTAGTCTATATATATAAAGGGCTAAGTATTCGGCCTTTACGGCCGTCCAACCTACCAAATGACTGGTACATATGACACACACTGGCAATGTAAAAATAAACATTGACTCGCACATGCGCAATACATATAAAGCTCTCACTGGCACCAATCGCACATGTGTGTTTTGATCTGTCATTGTTGAGCGTGAATTTGGTTGTTTTTTAACATAGTTGTGTCAGATTCTTTGTCCTCAAAATGAGCACGTTCATAAATTAAATGAAGAAATTTTGGATGTACTCAATGGAGATGTTCACACATATTTGAGTGATGATTCCATCGATTCAACAGATGATGCCGAAAAGAAAATTTTCTCATCAAATTGCTTACTAGTATTACTCCTTCGGGAATGCCGTGTCATAAATTAAAATTGAAAGTACGTGCAATCATCATGCTACTGAGAAATCTTAATAGTAAATGGGTTCTTTGTAATGGTTTATTATCAAAAGATTGCGACCTAACATAATCGAAGCTGAAGTATTAACTGGATCTGCGAGTTAAGGAGAGGTTGTTCTGATTCCAAGAAATGATTTGTCCCCATCTGACACTGGCCTCCCATTTAAATTAATTCAAAGACAGTTTCCCATGATGCCAGCATTTGCGATAACTATTACTAAATCACAAGGACAAACTCTAGACAGAGTAGGAATATTCCTACCTAAACCCGTTTTCGCACATGGTCAGTTATATGTTGCTTTCTCTCGAGTTTGAAGAGCATGTGACGTTAAAGTTAAAGTTCTAAATACTTCATCACAAGGGAAATTAGGCAAGCACTCTGAAAGTGTTTTTACTCTTAATGTGGTATACAGGGAGATATTAGAATAAGTTTAATCAGTTTATCAGTTATTTTCATAAACATTTTACTAATATTCTTTCATCTCTGACACTTCTATTATAGAGAAAGGGAGAATAGCAATATTAAAATATTTCTTCTAATTAATTTCCTTTCAATGTGCACGAATCGGTGCACTGGGCCACAAGTTACTCTAATAACCAGTTACCAGTTGTACTGGTATGAGGACAAGGATGGTATCTAGATGATTCACCATTCCCTCCAACAATGCTTACTGCAGAGGGGGCCCTCAGTAAATATGGACTGAAGGGAACGTTTGGAAGTAATTGTAGCTACTGGTTAAAATGACACCGGGAAGCTTCTGTTAGTATTTGCCTTGATTTCTATACTGGGAATAATTATCTGTTTCAAGTACCTCTTCCCCATAACAATATTGCTGGAAGAACGTGTTTTAAAACTGTCACTTTTTGTTTTCTACTCAACAGGTCAGTCAGAATCCATTGGAATCTTACACAAAGTGAAGTCTCAGAATCGTCCGACTCTCCGCCATATTCTTATATTCTATGCAGTTGTGTAAGTAAATGAATTTACTAGAAGTGACTTCAGGAAATGATTCAGTTCTCGCCCGGATGGCATGGCTTAGTGGTTGAGTGTCGACCTGTGAACCAGAAGGTCAGGTTTTGATTCATGGTCAAGGCACATGCCCAGGTTGTGGGCTCCATCCCCAGTGTGGGGCAGCTGATCAATGATTCTCTGTCATCATTGATGTTCCTATCTCTCTCACCCTCTCCCTTCCTCTCTGAAATCAATAAAAATATATATTTTTTAAATGATTCAGTTCTGAAAGGAATCATCTTTTCATGTTGCCAAGAGCCACTGTAAGTCTCAGTTGTCTCTAATGTGACCCAAATCTTTTCTTCCACGGTTTTTGTCTCCTATTGCAGCTTCGGTCACATTTTCATGTTCATCCCTTTCTCATCTAAAAAGTGAAAAGAGGGAGGAAGGGAAAGCAAACTGATTGTGCCAAATCCAGCGGAGGACTAAGGGCTGAGTGGATGCTATTGGCTGGGAAATTACAATGAAGCATCTTTGTCCTGACTGTTTATTTTCCATCCAACCCATGTTCTCTGGCTAGAGGCCAAAACAACTTGAAAATGTCATCCCCTTGATTGAAAACATAGGCACTGACTTTTTAACTTCCCCCTCACTTCCAGACTGTAATCAGTGGTTCTTCTGAAAATAGCCGGACCCAGTTCTGGGCTCTTCCTCACACCGAGGAGGACAGGCCCAGTTTGGTTTCCAGATAAAGCAGGGAACCTGTGAGTCACCAGAGAACAAGACTGGGCACTACAGGCTGGGCCGGGCCCTTCGAGTGAGGGAGGCAGCGCCGGGGAAGGAGGAGCTTCGGGGGCAGCCCGGGAAAGCCTATTAGAATCTCTTATAAGTTGAGGAACTTGGGCTAAAGAATTTTAAATCCCTTGATAGCTCTAAAGTTTTGTGACAAGCATCTACCTTTGAAGAAAGATCTTTTTTAAAATCTCTTTGGCCAAGTTGTTTTAGAAAATACTTTGCCTCGAAGAATGTATAGTTGGCTCAAAATTGTTTTATTTTGTTTTTTCCTGTTAATCCTCACCTGAAATATTTTTCCCATGGGGAGGTAGAGAGAGAGAAACATTCATGTTAAGAGAGAGATATCGATTGGTTGCCTCCCGAATGAGCGGGATCAAACCTGCAACCCAGGTATGTGCCCTCGACAGGAAATCAAACCCAAGACCCTTGTGTGTGTAGGCCAACGATCTGACCACTTAGCCACACCGACCAGGGCTGTCTCTGAGTTTATTATTCTGTGAGCATCAGGGCCTGGCCGTTGACCACTGAGATTTCTCCTTTTCCTTTCCAGTGTCTGTGCGCTAATCCTCTCGACCTTCTACATGCGATACAGAATTAACACCCTGGAGGAGCAGCTGGGGTCACTGACCTCCATTATGGACACCCATCACGCTGAGTAAGACATGTCCCTCCTGCACTAGCATCTGCTTGCTATTCAGACTAGTAGGATGTCTGACCTGAGTTTAGCAACTTTCTTAGCAAATATTAATTAAGCATACATTTTGTATGAGATATTTTAAGTGTATACATGGGGAATACGGAGGTGGGAAGGTCCCAGAAATGAATGACCTGACTGTACATGTCCTTGAGTTGCTATAGTGTTGCCAGTGATGAGGCAGAAACAAGCCTAATTGTACATTATCTTGTTCTTTTATCCTGAGACTCAGTTGTGACCTTGGCCCATTTATTAAAACATGAAAGTTGAGCTGAAAGGGCAAGGAGTTAAGACATTCATAGGAGAGAAGCAGTTCAAGTAACTCAGCACATCTGATCACCGATAACTCTGTATTGGCCCATTTATTTACAAAACTCTTCCTCGCTATAAAGATCCACCTGACTAGCAATTGCTTGATGGTGCCTGTGAAATTTTTCCATCACAGTCATTTTACATGCCTGACCTAATGAAACCTATTCAGACAGAGAGCCCTTTCCTTTAAACCCGTTCCCATGAGGATTTTGACGTACTGCCTAAAAAGTAAAATAAAGTGTTGTTCCACATTAGGAAACATACTTTTAGCAAATGTCCTAAAAGTAGGGATATTCCTCTACACAGAGTACACACCATGTGCTGTTGACTCTATTAGAATGGATGCACACATGCACAAACACAATTTTCTCTCACTGTACCTTATTACTGCTATTCCCATTTTACAGATGAGGTCACTGAGACCCAGAGAAATAATTAGCTTCATGTCTTACAGTTTGAAATAGAATCAAGGATTCCAATGCAGTCTGTATGACTACAAAGACCATACACTGCCAGTCAACCAGTGGCTGCATCTACAACTGAGAAGAGCAACAGTTCTTGCAAATTGATGCTGTAGTGGGGATAGAGAGGTTACTGGAAGCTAATAAAAAGGGTTTAAGAAACCACGGGCTTGAGAATAATTGTCTGATTTTTGTTTGGAAGCCGAGGCACATTGCAGCCACTTAAACAAAAATAGCTTCAGAGATTTCCAGCTGAGCTGTTAAGAATTAGCCCCCAAACATCCAGTCTGGAGTGGGTTACTGCGGGGCCTTTCTGATGTGAACAAGTTAAATGCTCACTCTCTTCTGCTATAACCTGGTTTACTGTTCATGTACATGCCAGAGGTGTTTCTTCCACTTCCGTGTTGGCCGCTCCGGCCCGCGGTAATGTTTCTCTCTGTCCTCGCAGACAGGCAGCGCCGTCCAGCCTGGGGTCGCAGGTGCAGTTAAACGCAGAGGCCCTCTGCCGGGAGCTCACCGCGAACATCATGAAACTAGAAAAGGTGATTTCTTTTCCGTGCTGGGGCAGCCGTGGCGGGGCCTGCCGCTTGCCATAGATCAGTGGTTACACATTAAAACCCTGCTGGTGTGTGCAGCGAGCAGCCTACATGGCCAAACCCAGCCCGGGGATTACATGGTAAATGTGAAAGACCATTTTTTATTTCCACCAAGAAATAGGTTCCGATCTCATTTTCCTTGTTGGTCTGTCTCCTGGCTTTCCTCCTTGGTTAGAAATAGTTCTCTGTGCCACAGAGCCCAGGGGCAGGTGACCTCTGACACAGGGCTGGGGGAGGGACCCAGGAGGGAGTGTCCCAACCGAGAGTGCAGCCCCACCTCCACCCAGGCCCACGGTGGCCACACACAAATTACTGCATTCATTCCCTGTCGTAACCCTGAGAGATGGATGACACTGTTCCTATGTGACCGAGAAGAATCCAAGTTCCTATTAACTTGCCCAAGGAGACAAGGCTAGGAAGTCGGCAGACGTGGAATCGGAAGCAGGTCTGTGTGACATCAGTTGTGCTTGGAAGCCCCCTGCTCTCCTGCCCCTCAGAATCCAGCCTTAGTCCTTGCTGACAGCCCACTGATGTGCCTGTACCACTAAAGGTACCTTCCTATAGGGCAGCTGTGAGGCAGGCCTGTCCTCATGCCCGTGGTATTCTTAGAACTCAGTAGTAGGACAGCGAACAGGAGAAAAAGCCAGGCATGCCAGAAATATCCTCGTTAAGCCTGATTAACATTTCTTATCCTGTCAACGTGTTTGTCCCTTCCCCTCTAAAAATCTGTTTTCACCCTAACCCTTAAGGAAAGGGTTCGGGGAGTTAAGTGTTCAGTTCAAACCCACAAATGCCCAGTAGCTTTCCACGATAGTGCAGTTACACTTACTTGGGGAGAAACATGAACTACAAATGAGTCAAACTGTTTGTTTTGCTTTACCAAATGTTATCTAACATTGACCCACTGAAGTATGGAGAGCAAAGGTGTTCCCCAACTCCTGTCCTTAAACCAGGGCATGCCAGATCCTTCCTATCGCTTCACTGTATCTCCAGGCTGACTTGAAACCTTTTCTCTTTTAAATCGAAATCCACCTAGAGGAGGTATGGGGTAGCAAGCAGAATTATTTTCCTTTCTACAACGGTAGTTGTTGAGACTTCAGATAATTTTTAGTTTTCTTTGTAATGAAATGTTGACCAGTGTTTGGGCTTCTATGCTGACCAAGTGAGTGGGCTGGTTTTGATTTTCTATCTTGCTCCCTCTGGCATATGCCGGAATTCTTTGGACCAGAAGCACACAGAATCCTGCCGCCTTCGCCTGTGTTTCTTCCCATTCTCCTGCCGGCCTGGCTGGGACACCACATTCTATAAAGAGTCAGATAAACAGGAGCCCGGACAGAGCCCCGCCACTCAGCTACGAGGCCACACTAGGTTCCTGGAGAAATCTCTGTCCTGAAGCAGAAACAGACAAAAGTGGGTTTAGAGTCAAAATGCATATGTTGACGTTCTAAAAAGTTATAAAGTGCACACCTGACTCTAAGGAATGGAAGCAGAAGTTACCAGGCCACACCCTTGTTCCTTGGGGTCGGTCTGCCCCTCCAGCCAGAGGCAGTCAGGCGATGGTGCAGCCCCGCCTGCTGGTGAAACCACAGGCAGCCGTGTGTGGCGGGAACTGGAGCCCCGTCTCAGCTCCTTCACTCAGGGCCGGCAGTTCCCTTCTGCCCTCCGTCAGGGGCTGTTCTTGTCCAGGCCCCTGACCTGCTCTGCTTGTAACTTCCCGATTTCTGTTCATGGCCTCAAGGCCCTTCCGTCATCCTTGTTGGAAATCTAAGAATAATTTTTAACACCCCCTCTTTTCCACCTGCCTAATGGGTGGAGCAATCCTCTGCCGTCTATCCTCAGATGCTTCCCAGGGGCAGCATCTCTGTCCATTCTGGCCCCTTGCACCCAGCCCAACAGTGGGCGCTCCGATCTCATTGTGGTTTTTATTTGCATTTTCCTGATTACCACCACAGGTGAACATCTTTTTATATATTTATTGGCCCTTTGGATTTTGTTCTGTAAATTATCCCCTTTGTTTTACTTTTGGGGTTTTTTTGTCTTTATAGGAATGTTCTATATATTTTGGACATCAGTTCTTGGTTTCTTTCTTTTTTTAATCTTTATTTTTGAACATATTGCAGATGTCCCCCTTTTTCCCCACTCCCACCCCCTCCCTGTGTTTGTCCGTGGGCTATGCTCATATGCATATACACTCACTGGTTAATCTCTTCCTCCCCTCCCCCCACCTCCCCTCTGAAACATGGCAGTCTCTTGCTTGTTTTGTGTCTCTGGATCTGTTTTGTTCATCAGTTTATTTTGTTCTTAGGATTCCAGAGTATTATGCTAATTGAAATAAGCTAGTCAGAGAAAGACAAGTATCACATGATTGCACTCATATGTGGAATCTAATCATTTCTTTTTCTGTCTTCCCACTACTGCTTTTACCTTTGGTCCTGTGGGATAGGTAGGGAAGACACGAAGTAGGAAGGTGGAGGACGAAGGCAATGCCTTTTGTGGGTAAAAAAGGAAATACTTATTTTCTTAGTGTTGGAAATGGCATTCATGGCAGAACAGTACAGGAGGAAGAGCATATATCCTGGACTCAAACCTCTGTTCTTAGCCCTACTCTTCCCTTTACTGTCTGTGCAACTGGTCTTTCTCCAGAGCCTCTGGCCCTCGGTTTCCTGTGTAAACCTGCCTGTGTGGTGGTGGTGTGTGGTGAAGGGGAGCATGCGTGGAGTTCCTGGCACAGATGTGTTAAACCCCTCCCTCTTCACATAGCCTGCGTGTGCCCGTCGGACATCACAGACTCTTTTCCCAAAGAATACATTCTCTTCTGTTTCCCAGTGATCCTTTACTACCATTCTCTGGTGAGAATGTCTTGCTCTGAATTATTTTAAGAAAATGTTTACTCAACAAACATTTTCTAAGGACATTTTTAATGCCCAACCCTGTACTGTAGTCTTGAGACCCAATGATAGGACATGGTCCCTGTCCCTGTGAAATTCACAATCTTCTGGGAAATGTATGATATCTAATAAGAAACTTAAATGCTATTGTTTTAATACATTTTTTTAAATATATTTTATTGATTTTTTACAGAGAGGAAGGGAGGGAGACAGAGAGTTAGAAACATCGATGAGAGAGAAACATCGATCAGCTGCCTCCCGCACACCCCCCACTGGGGATGTGCCCGCAACCCAGGCAACTGCCCCCGACCGGAATCGAACCCGGGACCCCTCAGTCCACAGGCCGACGCTCTATCCACTGAGCCAAACCGGCTTTGGTTTCAGAGAGGAAGGGAGAGGGAGATAGAAATATCAACGATGAAAGAAAATCATTGATCGGCTGCCTCCTGCACACCCCACACCGGTGATCGAGCCCACAACCCGGGCATATGCTCTGACTGGGAATCAAACCCTGACCTTCTGGTTCATAGGTTGATGCTCAACCGCTGAGCCGTGCTGCTGGGTGGAACTTTAAACGTTATTATGTGGTGTTTGTCTCAGACTATCCAATGGGCTCTGTAAGCACCAGCTCCCTGCTGTGTCCGAATCCTTTGGGTCACACCTGGTGTCTCCAGTGCTGTGTAGTTCTTCCTCCTGTTTTCTCTTGGTCTCTTCCGACATTTTATCTTTGTGCCGCTTTCTTTCCCTGCCCTCTCTTTTTTCATTTTAAAGTGGATTGTCTAACAGGTCTATGCCTTTCAAAAGCATTTGTTTGGCTGATCCAAAGTTAGCCGCTGGGTAGTTGTGTGTTTTTTTTTAAATAATCTCATGCACTACATAGGCCATAGCAAATAGGCCCTTCATAGACCCCATTCTATTTAATAACAGGAGCTTCTCTGTTATTGTTTCAAGATACAGAACAACTTACAGAAATTGCTTGAGAATGGCGACTGACCGACCAGACTGCTTGGGCCAACGTGATACCTCGCGCTTCCCTTTGAAGAAGGTGCTCCCGGAGGCGCCCGGCGAGTGCTCCCTGCTGGCCGGAGGAGCGAGCGGAGAGGCACCCAGCCACATTCGCACTTGGAGGTCTCCAGCTCAGGAAAGGGGGGAGGGGAATGATTCTGGTGCCTGTGCAATAAAAGTTGACCTTGACTCTCAGAGGAAGTGTTCCGCGTCGCTGCCTGAAGGAACCAGCCCCGTCTCGGGAGGACCTGGTGGACACTCGTGAACGACTGTGGTTCGGTGGCCATCGTGACTGTCAGCAAACACTCCACAACGTGCCTTGTCAGTCCCTCTCCCCCTCCCCTACACCGCAGCCTTCAAGCTAAGGGATAGATCGTGTGCCAACAGCCCGAGCTGGCCCTCTGAAGATTTAGCCATAACTCTCCAGAAGGCAATAAGGAGCTCTAATGGACAGGCTTGCTTCAAAGAAATGACCCCAGCATTTTGTCTTTTTTTTTTTCCTTCTACTGTTATGTTCTGGTTTAAATCATCTGTGTATCCTAATTTCTCAATTGAATATTGGCAAAAATATTGGGCAAAGCAAATAAACCATCCATTCACATTTTGTTTTGTCCCTCTAACTAATACGTAATTGAACTGATTCTCACCCGCCCCAAGTCAAGAATCTGCGAGGCCTGGGACTGAAATACTAAATAAACTTACTCGAAACCAAAACTAATCTTTAAACCAAAAAGTAGAATGTGATTTGATACACGATGAAAAACATGGAATTTTTAAGATTATAGGTGGACTATGTTACTTTTGAAAAAGGATGTCTGTATTGAATGTTGAAACCCATTTCAGCATAACGACAGAACGCTTTTGTGCTTTTGCTGACTAAAGAAATAACCGGTGGTTTGATAACTTCTATTTACCATAGGGTTGCCTGGTTTTTATTAAAAATTATTTAGGTACTGTAAGATCTGTAATATGAAAGGTATTCCGTTTCTGTCTGCAATGCATTTTATAATCATTTCTATGAAATGTATTTTATTTAATCAGATAAGCTAATAAGTGAATTGGTTACATCATTTGTGTCTGTTAGCCTACTGGACAAGAATTGTGCCTGGTGCACCCTGGCTTTTAATAAATACTCATTGGTGAAAACACCTTGCTAGCACTGTGCTTTGTCAATTTCTTAATTCTTTTAACAGACATTTTTTTAACTGCTTCTTACTTCCTCCCTACTACTTCCAACTCACCCATACTTCTTTTCTCCTGAGTATTCATTTCTGAACTCAAAGTTATTTAAATTTGGGTTGTAATAATATGAGGGAAAGAAAAAACTCTGAAATCAGAAAACCAATGCTGGACTCCTGGGTCCACATTTTATGAGCTGTGTGACCTTAAGCAAGGTATTTGGCCATTCCTCCCACCCCCCACCCCCGCTATTTTATTGAAAGGACCAACAAAAAGTCACTGGGAAGAGTAAATGTAATAATGTCTCTAAAGTATATTGCTGTGTCATGCAAGTAGTATAATCTCATAACAGGTTACCATATTCATTATTTGTTTAATGTTTTCATGTCCAGCATTCCAGTTTTATAAAAGTTCTGTGTCAATGCTTTTTTAATTTCTTTTATCCTCACCAGAGGATATTTTCCTATTGATTTTTTTTTAAAGAGTGAAGGGGAGGGGATAAGGGGAAAGAGAGAAACATCAATGTGAGAGAGAAACATTGATTAGCTGCTTCCTGCATACTCCCCACTGGGGATCGAGCCCGTAACACGGGCAAGTGCCCTGACCAGGAATTGAATCATGATCTCTTGGTTCATAGGTCGATGCTCAACCACTGAGCCACACTCTCCGGGAGGGAGCCACTTTTTCGTCTTCTCCCGCCTCCCCCAACAATCATATAGTTGACTCTTCCAAAGAGAAAGAAAGCGCTTCATTTCTGGACTTAGTTTATGTACTTATTTTTTTTTTCCCTTGGGTATGTTGCTGTTTGTTTTATTTTCTCTTTTATTGGATGTATTGGGGTGACATTGGTTAATGAAATTATATAGGTTTCAGGTTATACAATAATAGAATACATCATCTGTATATTGCATTGTGTGCTTACTGCATGTTTTATTTTTTATAACTAGCTCCTAAGTCAAAATCTGGTACAAGCCGAAACCGGTTTGGCTCAGTGGATAGAGCGTCGGCC